ATTTAACTACGCTCTTTTTTGATATTTTGTGTTTGTGGATTACTTTTTTTGGACAAGGGTTTTTCTGATGCTCTAATTATTTCCATTGCACTCTCCTTTAAGGTTACGAAATGTCTACTAGAGAACAAATGCAGGATAAAGTTAAGCTAAATACTGTTCTTAATTAAATCTGTTCATAAAATTGAGAATGTCCTACGCAAAGGCGAACTCACTCGATAACAACTTGAAGAATTAGTGTAACGAGAAAGGTCACCAGCAAAAAAATGCAAATTAGAGCGTTTTCGCACAATATTGACAGCTTAAAGGAAACCATGTGTAGCAACTAAGAAAAATTGTTTTTTTTTCAATGTGTAGAAGCCTGCCCTGCACTTAACGTAATCCTAAGCAGTAATTAGAAATCCAAAAAATGTTCTTTTCAGGGCCAGATATCGCTGAAAAAAGAATGTCCCTCTCCGAAACTGCACACGATTACTCTTGATGTAGCATCAGATGAAAGCGTCTCCCAAGCGAAAGACTACGTTGAACGCAATCTTGGCGGACTTAGTAGGTTCAAAATACGAAAGGAGAATGTCCCTAGCAGTTCATAGTTTTCTTTAGAGTTGTGGGGTGTCGTAAACAATGCCGGCATTTTCTCGTGTTATGGCCCCGACGACTGGACTGCTATCGAAGACTACAAACGAGCGGTGGAAGTGAACACATTTGGTGTGATACGTGTCACTCATGTAGGTTTTTGGCGGCCTTGCACTGACATTCTGGTTTTTAAATAAGAAAAAAAAAGTATCGATCCAATTATGGGATGGTCTGACTTGAAGAAATCTAAGAAAACTATTACGATGCTTGCAGGCGTTCAAGAAGCACGTGAAGAATGCGGAAGGGCGCATTGTAACCGTGACCTCGGTGAACGGCAGATTGTCTTCACCCGGTTCCGGGCCTTATGTAGTCAGCAAATTTGGCGCTGAAGCTTACATGGATGCGATAAGACAAGAATTGTATGCATGGGGAGTAAAGGTCTCTATTCTCGAGCCAGGCATCTTCAGAACACCATTGATAAATGAGAAGGCCATGCTCGATAGGATAGAAGCGGTAAGTAATCCAATGAATCTGCAACAATTTGTACTGGAAAAAACTTCTCTAATAAAGCACCTACGATCCTCATAGCGGTTACGCCCTTAAATAGACAAAAAATTGGAAATTCTTGATCTGCTTTTGTTTTTCTACAGAAATT